GGGGGGGGGGGGGGGGTTAGACGGGGGGTGCTACGATATTCAAGTTAAATTACCACGATGAGGAAAGCATGCTATGTATTCCGTAACAAAAGCCCAGGAGCTGCCACGGCTGCAGCAGCGTCCCGGCTGCAGGTGTGATTCGGGCTTGAGGGCTCCAACGTTCAGGGTCCCACTTGAGGCGTGTGGCTTGCCTTGAGTCGAAGAGAGGGTCGCAGCCACAAGGGTTGCAGAGCAATAGGCCCGGCACAAATGTGTTTTCGTTAGGGGGGGGGGTTGTGTTAGGCTTCGGCCGACACGAGGCCCCCGCTGTTCTGATATGCACAGTCTGCTAAGTTTGCAGTGCGTTGCTGTGGAACGGCGGCATCCCTTTGCCGAGACCTGCCCATGCCTTGCATTGGGCCTTAGGCACCAGAACCCATGGTCAGGGACGGATGTGTTTTCTCGCAGTCCTGAGTGCTGCGTCTCATCGTCGGTTTCATGCGGTCATCCGGTCTTTGCAAGTGGAGTGCCACACTCCCCTTGCAGTTTTGGGCCTGGCGAAAGCCTCCCCCCTAGGCCTTGCATCAGACGTCTCAAACCCCGACGGAGATTTAGAAATCCATAGGCTGTACATCCTGCAATGTGAGGCTGAAGGTGTGTTCTGACGCCAGACCTGGGCCGCATCAGCTAACACAGAGTCAGGATTTGGCGAGACCTGGGCACGGACACTTCAAGCCCCTCCGGGATATCTGCTGGGCGCGCAGCCACGGCAGGGCTCCGCCACGCATGGCGGCAGGAGACTCAGTGGGATGTGGATGCATGGTTTCACGAACCCGGTGTTCGGACGGCCCATCATCCTCCTTTGAAGCCGACAAGAGGAACTCTATCCAGCTAGACTGACAGCCATGTTGTGATTGCTGCAGGGTTTAGACATGCAGAGTCTTTTGCAACAACAGCATCATCTTTGTAAGCTGTAGGCCCTTAGAAACCCAATACCCGAAAGGTTTTTAGCTCCACTTTTCTGGGTGCCGAATTCAGACTTTTTGATACTCCAAAAAAGTGGACGCATAAACGTGCAACGCTAAGGTGCATGATTTGGGGCCTTTGAGTTTGTAGGGTTCAGTCAAAACGAAGCCCTTAAGCTGTAGGTTGCAGCGGCCACTGGTGGACTTCTACTGTGGCAGCCTTGAAGCCTTTGGGCGCTCGCAGAATTCTGGCCTCCATGTCACCCGGCCCTACCTTCGACTAAGGAGTTTACCCGAAACCATAGAGTCTATAGAGCTCTGTGAGGGGTGGACTATTCGCAGGGTTTGTTATGGCCCGCTTGATATCATTTCATGCCTGTGGGTAGAAGTTCAGGGAGTTTGGGACCGTCGGAGTCTTGTGGAGGGGAGTTTAGGTCTGGGTTTAAGGCTGGATTTGAGACTTGGGGGCTTTAGGGGTTCGGAGTTAACTTGAAGAGAGTCGGGGCCTAGGGCATTCTATTAGCGGTTTGGAGCTAACTTCAGGATTGGGAAGAATACGGCCTCGAGGGTTTCAGCTTCAAGTGGCCTCAAGGCAGCCTTAAGGTGAGGACGACATTCAGCAATCAACCAGACGCCTCTGCAAGGAAAGCGAGAAGAAAACAAGATTTGGCAATACTTCTCTAGCGACTCTAGCATACTGGTTCCAAGCCGGCTCAGCTCAACCCGAGGGGCGACAGCATGGTGCAAAGCATCTCCAGACCCGGAGCTCTCTGAATGCAAAGTGCTCGCTCAATGGTATATTTCAAGCGTCGCACCGAGGGAGTGGGAAGGGACTTTTCCGGACCATCGGTAGTAGTGGTCATGGTAGCAGTAGCAGCAGATTCAGCATCGCAGCAGCCGGCGCAGGAGTAGCAGAAGTATCAGTGGTAGTAGTTCTATTAGTCTAGTTAGTTGGAGGAGTTTTAGTAGCAGTAGTAGTAGTAGTAGTAGTAGTAGTAGTAGTAGTAGTAGTGGTAGTAGTAGTAGTAGTAGTACCTGGGGCCTAAAGAACCGACCATTATATGGGTCGTGGAAATTAGTTGTCGTAGTCGTAATGGTGGTAGTAGTAGCAGAAGTAGTAGTAGTAGTAGTAGTAGTAGTAGTAGTAGTTAGTAGTAGTGAGT